GATGGGATTTGTCACCTCTCCCTTCTTCCATGCTTCCCATGTGACTTCTGTTCCAGTCACTCAACAGAAACTGCTCTTGTTAGGGTCACTGGTCACTAATGTTGCCAAACCAATGCATATTTTCAGTCTTCATCTTACTTGGCCTTCAGCAGTGGTCTGCGCTGTTGACCACGCCCTCCTTCCCTTTGCTCTGGTAACACATCCTCCCCCTGGCTCTCCTCTCCATTTCCATGGCTCCTTTCCAGGCTCCTTTCTGACTCAGCCTCCTCTCCCTAGTGTGTCATGTCAGGTTCTCCAGGGCTCATTTTCAAGTCTCTTCTCTGACTACAGGACTCCTTTCCCTAAGTGATCTCATCTCCTTGTACTTGGATCTAGACCTCAAACTTGGACCTCTTCTCTCAGCTCCATATCTGTAGACCCAAATGCATACTTGATGTTGCCACTGAGATGTCTCAAAGTAATCCCAAACCCAAGACCAAAACCAAGTCAGTAATGTTGACCTCAAAGACCTAGTTCTCATATACTGTTTCCACTCCTTGTGAATGGTAGCACCACCCATCCAGTCACACAAGTCAGAACCTCAGGAAATATTAACCCCTCTCTCCCTCCTTCTCCTCCACATCCATTAACGTATTGTGTGGGTTTTTCCTCCCCCAATTTCTCAAGTCCATAGCCTCCTCTGAATTCCCTGCCATCACCCTTGTCCAAGAACTGTCATTTTTCACTTGGACTCCAAGAGTTCAAGCAGCAGCTCTTGTTTCTTTCTGAATTGTTCCTCTTATCACAGTTAGAACATTGATTTCCAATTGCTTGTTCCTCTTCCTCTCACCACCATTCTGACTTAAAGTCTTACAATATCTTCCCTTAACTTATAAAATAAAGCAAAAACATTTAAAATGGGCTGCTAGGATCTGCCTGGGCTAAGTGCTATCGAAATCTCCAATGTCACCTACTTCCCTGCTCCAGTGACATTGTCTTTCCTCTAGTCCTTTACATTTGTCCCAGTCCCTCTGCCTCCAGTCTTTGCACATACTCTCTCCACCCTCCTCACCTGGCTAACAGCCTGTACAGCTTTCAGACTGTGGCCCAATCCTACACCTCTTGAGTTTTCTCCTTCCACAATGCTCTTTTAATGGCTATTTGTCTCCTCCAATCCTTTAAGCTCTATGAGATCATAGACTCACCCTGTACCCAGCACAGTGCCAGGCACAGTATAGTCTCAGAGGGAATATTTATTGAATGACTAAATAAAAGAAAGAAGGTACTGTGTTGGAATTCAAGGATACAAAGATGAATACGCACAGAACTTCCCAGAAACAGCTAATAGATTGGGAGCGGGAGAGAAAAGCAGATGAGAGGATGAGTAAAAGACTCAGCAGCTAGCAGGCTGATGAGCACACCGCAGAGGAGCCAGTTAGGCTCCTCAGAGATGGTCTTCCCTTAGTCCAGCTCACCTGTCCCCAGGTGAAGTTTAATCCAGGTGCCTGTTGACTGATCTGTCAGCCCTCTGGGACTTGTAGTCACCAGAGACCTGGATGTCTCTGAGATGTTCTCCCATGCAATTGCCACGGTATCCTAGCCATGGCAATGCCACCCTGCACTGCCACAATCCTGCCAGGGCACAGTTTGGGACCTGTTCAAAATGCAGTGTTATAAAAGGCTCTGACTGCACTAAGAGCGCCATGCACAGCACTGTAGTCAGAAGAGCTCCTGGTGCCTTTTGGGCAGTGACCTCGTGATATTCTCAGACCAACCCTGGAAGGCAGCAAAGGGTAATGATTTTCCCCCTGACTGAGCAATTGAGGACACCGAGGTCAATAGAGAACACTTGACTTGGCTGAGGGAAAACAGCTTAGGGACAGAATCTGGAGAAAATCCAGGGTCCTCTCTGCTGGGTCTTCCAGGCAGAGCAATGGCAGAGGAGGGTTCCCCAAACTGAGGGCTGCTGCAGCAGGAGCCACGCTGCTTGTTCTTTTTTGGTGCAGAAGGACATCTCATCCCCTCAGATGGTCCCTGAAATATCATCTTATATAAATCAGGAAACTGAGGCCAGAGAGATGAATTTCCTTTCTGCCCCCTTTCCCTTCCCTGTCCTCTTGTTATCAAGCGGTAAAGTAGAAATTGTTAGCTGTTCACCCAAATCTCTTCACCTCTTCTTAGCCGATGTGGCTAGGCTACATTTCCCAGCCTCCTCTGCAGTTCGGTGAGCCATATTACCATGTTGTCTCCCATGAAATATAGGAGGATGTAAGACCCCTCCTTACATCTCCATATTCCTGTCACCTCTGTTTGACTGGAATGCCAATTCCCAGAGCACCTTTGGAAGTCACACATCATGAATGGCAGAGTCACTATACTGCATATCCCTAAAAGACTGCATAAAGAAGGGCTGCCTGACTGACTGGAACCTCATTGTGCAAGGCTGTCAAGTGAACAAGAATGCAACATTATGTTGTTAAGCCGCTGCATTTGGGGGTCCTATTTGTTACTGCAGCCTAGTTTAAGCCTAATCTAATATAAGTAGAGGCAAGAAAGCCCCTGCGAAAGCTCTGGTTCAATGCAGTGTAGTTGGATGAGACACTGGAGACACTGGACTCCTGCTGATGTCACTGTCAACCACTTTGAAGTCAATCTCTGCAGCGATGAAGAATGCCTGACTCAGCCCTAGAATTTGATCTGAGCTGCCTTCCTTCCTGTTTCATTCTAGGTCAACAGACTCCCAGAGCTGGAATGGATCTCAGGGGTTATCTGGCTCCAGAGACCTCTCCTAAGCCATCTGAGATGATCAGGAATCTTATCTGGATTTTCACATCCCTGGGAAATACTACAATTGTCCTTAGATACCTGCTTCATACTTCCTTGCTTCTGTGCAAGTCGAGGAAACTGAGGCCTGGATCACAATTAAACAAGTGTCAGAGAAAGAAGCAAAAATATTAAGACCAAGCTGACTACTCTCCACAGTTCTATCCTGCCTCCAACTCCCTTGCATATTGCTCTTGCTCTGTCCTAGGAGATGAAAAAATTGCTGGGACCACCTCCACTGTGATCAGTCTTTGCAGATTCTCCCTATCTCCCCTCCTAACACACTGGTTAAAGCCACCCCAGCTGGCGATAACCCTGAATTTGTTCATTGGGCTTAGAAGGCAGGGAGAAGATTACAGAGAGAGACTGTGGTGCTTAAAGGGGAGGGGCAGGTGGCAGGTGCATGTTTGCCCCTTGGGGCCCTGTCAGGAAATGCAAGATTATCTACAGGATCGCTGAATCCAAAGCAGCAGCCTGGAAGGGCCATGAAACCCTTCAGCCTTCCTGGTTGCCTGGGAAGGCAACTAGTGCCATGGGAAGTGTGCTCTGTGGGAGGGAGAGAACAACAGTGGCCAGAACCTCTGAATACAGTGTATCAGCCTGTTGGAGCTTGTCTGGTTGGATCTGGGCAGCTGTGCTGTCCTGCCTGCTCATAAGGGAGCAGTGTCCAGAGAAGCTGAGCTGAGGCCATGAGAGCAAATCAAGTTACTTATTGCTTGGAACTTTCTTGGAGAGATCTGGAAATTCCACATGAGACCTTGAAAGTTGGGTTTGTTTTTGGTTCTTTAAAAACAAATATCTACTCCTTACTCCCTCATTTAAGGTGAGCTTCCTTTATGTTGTCTGCCAAATGACTCACTTGTACCGAGTTGCCAGAAAGTTGGCCCAAGCCTGTCTGCAGCTGCTATGCACACCGTGATCGGTCCATTCCCCTGGGTGGGTCATTGAGGTTGGGAGAAAGAGAAAAACACAGGAGCAGAGAAGTGGCAGGGAGAGGCCTGCCTGAATGTGTAATCCATTCTCAGGTTTTTATGAATATGTGGTAGTCAGACAGAGGAACTCAAAATACTTGACAAGGTCCCCAAGAAGCTGCCGTATTCAGTTCATTGTCTGAAGTGTTGCAAACTCTGACTTAGGAGACAAGAATGAATGATGTCACATAGTCATTCACAGATAAGTCACTTAATTTTTAGGTCTAGTTTTAGAATCTTGAGTAAGATATTTTCCCATTTTGAGCCCCACTTGTTTCACGTACAAACAAAGAGTTTGCAGTGCTAAAATTTAGACATCTTACTGTTTATTTACTGGGAGGGGAGACAATATGGATGCACATGGAACTTTATTTGCCAAGAAAATTTGTTTACACTAAACCTTTGAACCTCTCCCCTGAAGCTTTCTTTTAAAATTCAGTGATATCTGTACATCGTTTTAATTTGCAAATCTGCAGCTCTTTTCCTGATTATAAATTTGCCCTAGCGGAGCCTGAATTCACAGTTTTCTTTTCCCCGTGGCCTGTTTGGGTGTCCTGATGGTGACATCTCTGCAGAACTCTGGTATGAGCCAAAGACAATGGATGAGAAGGGAATCCAGGCTTGGGAGGACAGGGGAATATGCAGATTCCTGCCTTAGCCAGAGGGTGAGGTGTCAGACTTGGCAAGAGCAAGTTCAGCTCCAGCCCTGGGGACCTGGAGAAGGGGCAATGGTGGTGTTGGGGTCCTCTTCAAATCCTCAAGGGTAGTGACAGCGCAGAATAGGGAGCAGAGCCAAGACTTCACTTCTGTCTTCTATCAAAGCACTCGGTACAATCTAATTAGTGCCAATCACAGTACTAGGACCTGCTTTTCACAGACCTAAAGGTCTGTGAAGGAGCGGGGAAAGTGGCTCCGGACTCCCAAGCCTCGTTTTTTTTGCCCCCCTCGAACTTTTCTGCAAAAGGCAAAGCGATGCGCTGGGACGTGTGCGTGTGACAAAAGTTGCTCCAGGGCTCACAGGACCTCGCCCCGCGGATCCTGGCCGGGCTGCTGTCCCGGGCCGGTCCCCGCCCCCTTCCTGCTCTCCCCGCCCCCGGGCCGGCCGCGCGGGGCCGGTGATGTCAACCGAGGAGGAGCCGCCCGCCCCGCGACCCGCCCGGACTAATTAGCATGAGGCGGCGCCGCGGGCCGCCTCCGCCCCGGCCGCCCTCCCGCGGCTCCCACAACTTTTGAGGCGGGGAGCGCGCTCGCTCGCAACCTCACTTCCCTCGCTCGCTCGTCCGCTCCTCGCCCGGCCCGGCCCGGCCCGGCCCGGCGCCGCTGCCCTCGCGCCCGCGGCCGCCCCGCGCGCTGGGCATGTGAGCGCGGGTGGGCGCTGCCACCATGGCCTCGCCGCGCGCCTCGCGGTGGCCGCCGCCGCTCTTGCTGCTGCTGCTGTTGCTGCCACTGCTGCTGCTGCCCGCCGCCCCCGGGACGCGGGGCCAGCCGCCCGCCCCGGCCCGCCGTGCGCCCCTCTCCAGCGCGGGGCCCGAGCGCGGCCCGCAGCGCGAGCCGCCGCCCTGGGAGCGACGCGGGCCCGCGACCCCCAGTCCCAGCCACACGGTTTCCCGGCCGGGCGCCGCGACACGGCGGGGACGCTCCAGCCGGGCCCCCCGAGGCGGGAGCGCGGGTGAGTGAGAGCCGGGAGCCGGCGTCCAGCGAGCCTCGCTCGGCTGGGGGCGTGGGCGCGCCCCGGGGCTGCACGCCCGGCCCTAGGCCCCTGGCCGCTGCTCGACCCCGGCCCGGGGCTCCGCTTACCTGGCGCGCGTGGGACTCCGAGGGCGGGCTGGGAGGGAGCGATGCCTTCCCTGGCCGCTGGTCCGGGAGGTGTAATCACCGGTTCTCACTCACACACACACACACACACACACACACACGAAACGCAAGAAAACTTAGCGTTCCCACAGGGTCCCCACATCCTTCCTTCCCCTTTAAAAAAAAAAAAAAGAGAGAGAGAAAGACCTCCCAAAGTGCCTCTCCCACCTGGGGGTGGTAACTTCTGGCCCATCTTTTCCCCTGGTCTCTCCAGATACAGAGCCAGACTTTCTAGGGCAAATAACGGATTTTGAAAGGGCTCTGACATCTAGGATGTTTTAAAGGACAAAGGATGTAGTTTGAAACAAACCCATGTACTGATTAAACTCTAAAAGCAGAGGAACTTGGGGGCGGGGGCTGCAAGTTTGAACCCCTGCAAGGCAAAAGCTGACCCAGGATGGTCCCGATACTTTCCTCTGCTCCTTGCTTTCCCAGCAAGCAAGCTGCTGCCCCCCGCCCCCCTCCCCATCCCCGACTGTCCCAGACAGAGAAGGACCTGATCTCCCTGCTGTCTTTGTGTACACCTTTTTTTCTGGTCTGGAAGAAAATGCCAAAGCCTGGGTGGAATTCTAACAATACCATTATAACCTTGAGAATGTCCTCTTTTTTTTTTTATCTCAGTTTCTCCATCTGTAATATGGAAGTAATGACCATTCCTCCTAGCCTCCCAGTGAGGATTTGACAAAATGAAAGTAAAAATATTGTAAAGTGCTTTGAACAACGTTAGCAACATGACGGTGTAGCCTTTGCCTTTCCCACAGGAGATACACTTTCAGGGTGCACTGGAGAGACTCCGCTGTTGCTACACTGATCGTTGATTTTTAGTTTGGGATGAAGGTTGCTATGATTTCTTCTGCCCAATTTTTAATACCTTTAGGTTTCTCATGTTTCACAAACTTGTCAGTGTATCAGTTAGCTTGCTTTTTCCAGCCTAGAATTAAATAAGAAAAGTCCCCCCCATACCATATTCATCAGTGTTCCCATCATTGCAAATTGCCTTGTCCTTGTGAATTTCTAAGTCACTGGCCTAAGAGAAAGGGAAGAACAGTAAGGAAAGGAGAGGAGAAAAATGGAAAACCCTACAGAGATGCAGGTTGGGTTGACCCTGAATTTAGATCACTTAGAACCTTGTTTCCTTCAGTTCCAGGGGAAGGAATTAAGCACCTAAAAGAACATTTCCTGACTTTCTCCAAGTAGAAAGAAAGGCAGTTTGTGAATTTTTCTAGATAGTAGAGTGCAGGGAATTAAGCTCGCTTAAGAGGGCACACTCAGGAACAAAGGCAGGTGTCTCGGGCTGATTCTCAGGCCTTCTTAGCCTAGGAGCCCATCTTGTTAGGGCATAGGTGGGAGGGAGGCTGGCTGGAGGAGGCTGGCACTGGAGTCTCCTTCCTCCTAAGGCTGGGAGTCCCCATGGATCATAGGGAGGTGGGAATTGCAGAGAAAGGGACTGGGCTAGGGGAACTAAGATAAGAATCGGAGTCTTAAGTCACCCACACTTTCCTTGTGACTATGTCAGGTAACACTACTGGTCTTAGCCCTGCAACTTCCCAATTTGATTGATATGTGGAGGTGAGCATGATGGAGGTTTCAGGTACATGAGTCCCAGACCCAGTTTGGAGGAGCTGGGTAGCCCAAACTTTCTTTTACCTTAGGTGATCTCTCTGATCTCCTAGTGTCCGGGAAAGACCCCTAAGGAGTGTCTGCCCTTCTGGTGATCTAAAGAGAGGCAGGGATGTTTGAAAGGTGAGAATAGATGAGATCACTTACCTGTTGAAATTGTTAGAAGCTATTAATATGGGTGAGCATCCAGGCATGACCTGAGCTTGTTTTCTGGTAGTGGCTCAAACAATGTCACTTGGGTGGGGGGAAGAAACAAACAAGGTGACTTCAATGAGTATGAGTTTTCTGATAACCTCTGAGGATTTTCTTGGCTTATTTTATTTGGCATCACTAGATTTAAGCACTTATTTCACAAGGCAGCAAAGTCTAAAGCTGAAAGGGCCACTGTGTCCTGTGTGGACGCCTGCCCTCTCCAGCACCCTGACAGATGGTCATCCAGGCTCTGCGTCCTTGTGTTTGTGCCCGAGGAGGTGGGTACTCCTGATGGTAGCAAGCCTTATGTCTTACAAATAATGTACTTCATATGAAAGTTGGAGAAACTGCCCCTAGCCCCTTCTGGCCTGTGAGGAAACTGGTTGGTACCTGGCCCTTGTGGCTTGGGCTTCCAAACACGCATGTCAGCAGCAGGGACCAGAAATGCCCTTTTCTTCCTGGTGAGCTGTTTCTAGTCCTTCTCCTCCTGGCAGAATTTAAGATTCTCTTGTCATGTGATGGTGTTTGCATTTCATATGTGGTTTGTTTGCCTGTATTACACTGCAAGTCCCAGAGGAGCAGCCCGTTTATTTAGCCACTGTTAGGCTCTTGTGCCCACCTGCCACCCTGCTAGCCATTCAGCTGCTAGTAATTGCTGGAGTTTCAGTCTTCTATTCAGGGCTTCTGAGCCACAGATCTAAGTTGAGGACTAAGTTTATTCACCTTGAGTTTTCCATGCTTTAATTGTGAAATCTGCAGATGGTGGCAGGAATGGGAAAAAGGCTGAAATCATAATGAAAATCCATGCAGAAGGAAAGAACTTTCCCACCCCAAGGGGAAATGACGCTGAGTAGCTGAGTAGCCAGACCAAGGAATAATAATCTTAGAAAAATGTGGCTCCCTAGAGTAAAGGAAGCGCTTTGAGCCCAGGGCCTTCTGAGCTGTTAAATAGCTGTTGCCTGAATCGCTCTAACTTTGTAAGCCAACTTCGTCATTTAGCTTGGCTATGGCCAGCACCATTACAAGGTGCAGTGAAGGCCGGGCTGGGCAAGAGGCAGGCCCTTTGGGGAGTGACTTTCCCCCAGGAATGTGGCCCCATCCTGGCTGAGGTTTGTGTGTGGGTTCCCTGGAAGCCTGCTTGCTTCAATGGAGGGTGCCAATGGGAGAGGAACTCTCTGTAGGGCGTGTGTATTTAAAAGCCACATCCTTTTAACCTTGCAAGAACCCGTTTATTGCTTCCTTGGCCTGTTTGTGAATGCCAAGCTGAGATTTTCTGCCCATGAGCTGACTGACAGGCAGAGGGACACTAGATGATGCTTAGTGCCAGCCGGGCAGTTGCTGCCTCCTAGTCCTGGAGAACCCTCTGGAGCCTTTGCCTTTCCTGTGATCCCTCTGCTTTCCAGCAGCCCTGCCCAGCTGGCTGAGAAAGTGTACTGGAGTTGACTTGTCCTTGTCCAGAGACACTCAACAATGAAAGCAAAGAACAGATGGCTACTTACTGCCTCCTTCAGCTGCTTCCCACTGTCCCTGGTGTTCCTCCTGCGTGAATAGGAGGGAAGGAGACTAAGAACCTTTGTGTGGTCACCACTCTCACATTCTGTACCCTATTTCACCCTCAAAACCACCTGCCAGCGTATTGTTTCCCTCTTACAGTTGTGGAAAATTAAGCCTGGCACAGTTAGGTCACACAGGAAATGGAAGAGACAGGTTTAAAACAGATTTTGACCAAATCCATTTACTTCATTCCACAATATCATGAAGTCTCAGTTTTCTTATCTGTAAAATGGGGCATCAGTTCTAGATCTCTAGGATCCTCTCCATCTCATCATTCTTCTTCCTCCTTCCCACAGTCCCTTGCTCTTGCCTTTTGGTACAGATTGGGACCACGATTGGGAGGAGGTGGCAATGGTAATGCAGACAATCTGCATAGGAAAGATCAAAAAAAATTTTTTTTTGGAAATAGCCCAAGAAAAGTATCTGAAGTCTTTAGTACATGTATAAAATGGTATTTTATACAGATGATACTGTGACTTGTGCTCTAGTTATATGTCAGTCCACAGGTTATTGATGCCAGAGGTTATTATCAACATTATCGACCTAAATGAAGTGAGTTTTTTTGTTTTTGTTTTTGGGTTTTTTTTGGCAGTACTGGGGTTTGAACTAAAGACTTCATGCTTGCTAGGCAAGCACCCTACCACTTAAGCTATACCCCTAGCCCTTTCTGCTTTAGCTTTTTTTTTTTTTTTTTTTTTCCCAGATAGGGTCTCACATTTTTTGCCTGGGCTGGCCTCCAATCATTATCCCTGTAGCTCTACCTACCAAGTAACTGGGATTATGGGTGTGACCCACCACGCCTGTCAGTGAAATTATTGACTTTCTTACCCAACCCTCTCGGGAATGTAGAGTGATGGCTGTCATTGTTAGTTGTTATGAATACCTATTCAGTGGGAAGAGAGGTTTACAGCAGGTGCTATAAAAGCACTTTCTTTTTAATGTTAATGCCCTCTGGTACCCACTCACCATTCATCTTACAAAGATGTTCTTTTTCCTCTTCTTTTGTTGGAGTGTGGCATATGTCTCCATCTGCATCCCATTTGATTGATTTATAAATCAGGAAATGTTTACTAAGGCCTTACTGTGTGTGAAGAGCTGTGCCTGGTGACATGTAGGTTGTACACACAACTACAATGCCCCTGGGGGACATCTTGTTAAATAACACTTAACATCAAAGTTGCAAACAGCAAAGTACTGATGCATTAGTGATTCCTAACCAAAGAAAGCTCACAAGAAGATCATGCAGAGGTGAAGGCTGCAGAGGCTGGAGAGTCCAGTGAGACTTCGTAGGGAAGGAAGGAGTTGATTTAGTTTAGGCAGTTGACCAGGATGTGGGTAGACAGAGAGGTGGGGAGGTTTCTGGCATCAGCAGAATCCAAAATGTTGAAAAGCTCAAGATTTTTTGCTTAGGGGTGATGGACAGTCAGGAAAACTGTGGAGGAGAGGGAC